TATGGGGGGAATGTCTCCTTTTAATTTTTTTATTATTATTTTACATATTATGCCTAAAAAAATTCATTTTTCTTCTAGATTATCCATGTTACTAGAGCAACACTGTGCGAGATGAATTTTTCTTTTAACATTTTTCTTTCAAGAGGATACTGATACAAACACTTGCTCTTACAAACTTTTGCCTTTGTGAACTAGACAGTCTTATTGTTACATCTGCAATAGTTAAGGTTACTGCTGAGTATGCAGCATTTCTTAGTTTCCAGGCTTTTAAAGGAGGATTAGGTTGTTACTGCTTCTTGACGTATCTGTCAAGATCTCTATAACATCATATTCATTTCTCTTTGCTTAATTAATCAGATACCCAGAAATGTCTAATATCTCTGGAATTTTTAAGTCAAAATGCAGGATACTAACAATTCTGAGGTAGAAGGACAGCTGAAATCTTTAGGACAATCATGCTTTGGAAATGTTAGAATCCACTTGCTCGCTTGGGATTTTTTTGCTTTTTTTTTTCATTGTGGCTTCCTGAAGTATTAGAAGGTACTGTGGAATTCTGAGATATTTCACAGTGTTTGTTGAGGTTTGAAATTACTACTGTACTCAGGATTAATTTTTTCCCTTCTTAGAAATGCTATTCACTTTGATGTTTCCTCAGTAACCCAAAAGAGCGGGTGAATTCCCTTCAGCTGAGGGGCAAGCAACTAATCAATCTGATGATCTAGAAATAGCTGTGTCATTATTTAAGTTTTGTTAAATGTATTAAGGATTTAGCTGATGACATGCAAGAAAATATTGTTTTGCAAAATCCCCATTAAAAAGAAAACCGAAACATACAAAGGTACTGTTTCTCGTGCAGATGTAAGATTACACGGTGGCAATAATAACATTGAAAACCCATTCTGACTCCCTTTCAAACTCAGTGATTTCGTGAATAAACACTTTCTAACTTTAATAGTTCAGACTTATATTTTAAAAGAAAATAAAGTATTTCAACAAGTCTTCAGAGTTATGTAGCCTCTAGCAGAAACAAAAGACTGACATTATTTGTCTCAAGTTATGGCTATATAGTTACAGAGGTGCACATATTTTGGGCATATTTTGTACCCTAACGGCTTAACATATTCTATGACATAGCCTATCTATATATTTCTGATATAGAAAGTACACAGAGACCAACACTGTGGCCAGTTTCAAAATGTCTTTCAAAGTGGTATCAAGAAGACTGAGAAATTCTGCTGGAAGAAGGGGAAGAGTCAAACAATTAAATTTGGTGATAGACTTGCTGTTGATATGATGAATGTAATCACACCCAACTGTATTTTCTCTGTGTTCAGGGCATTAAATTTATAAGAGTGCGTTTGAAATTAACCTCCCTATTGGCTTTCTTTGCTGCATGGGTGCATTGCTGGCTCCTGGTCAAATTGGTGTCCACCAGGAGACACTCGGCTTCCAGAATGTCCTGGTGGCAGAATTATTCCACAGTAGCTGGAGGAGTTTGCAGTTCCCATTGTTGAGCTTCATGAGGTTCCTGTCAGTCCCTTTCTTCAGCCTGTCAAGGTCTCTCCGAATGAAATGCTTGCTTTCCATTCAGATTATTAATCCAGATGTTAAGCTGTATTGGACCCAGTATTGACCCCTGGGGTACATTGCCTCCAACCAGACTTTGTACAACTGATCAGCAACCCCTAGGCCTGGACATTTAGTCAGCTTTCGTTCCACCTCACTGAACATACAGCTCATGCTTCATCAGTTGTTTTTTTTTGGTATGTCGTAGGAGACAGTATCAAAAGCCTTACTGAAGTCAGGGCAGACAACGTCCACACTCTGCTCTCATCTGCGAAGTTTGAGTTCACCCCAAGTGCCTACTCTTTCAACTAGAGACTACTCATTACTCTTGTAGTGAACTGAGTTGGAATATACAACTAAGACTGGAAGACCAACTGATTCATGCTGATAAATCATGTATATCTCTCTGTTGGAAGAACTGATAGTAAATTTAGTACAGCATAAAGAGTCTGGCTTACACTGATATGCAGCCATATAGAGTCATAGGGTTGTTAAGGTTGGAAAAGACCTTTAAGATCAAGTCAGCCCATCAGCCCAGCATCACCACTCAGTTCACCATTCGACCATGTCCTCAAGCGCCATATCCACATGCTTTTTGAACACTTCCGGGGATGGTGACTTCCCTGGGCAGTCTGTTCCAAAGTTTGACCACTCTTTACATAAAAGGAATAATTCCTACTATCTAATAAACCTCCCCTGGTGCAACTTGAGGCCATTTTCCCTTGTTCTACTGCTTATTACCTGTGAGAAGAAAATGCTCTCCACCTGGATTTACGTTGCATATTAGGAAGAAATTTTTTACAGAGAGTGATCAGACATTGGAATGGGCTACCCGGAGAGGTGGTGGATTCACTGTCTCTGGAGGTTTTTAAGATGAGATTGGATGTGGCACTTAGTGTCATGGTCTAGTAACCACGGCAGTGTTGGATCAAGGGTTGAACTTGGTGGTCTCGGAGGTCTTTTCCAACCCGGTTGATTCTCCGATTGTATTCATACAACCTTCTTTCAGGTACCTGTAGAGAGTGAGAAGGTTCCCCCCTAAGCCTCCTTTTCTCCAGGCTAAACAATCCCAGCTCCCTCAGCTGCTCCTCATAAGACTTCTGTTCCAGACCCTTCCTCAGCTCCGTTATCCTTCTCTGGACTTGCTCCAGCACCTCAGTGTTTTTCTTGAAGTGAGGGACCCAAAACTGAGCACAGGATTCATGGTATGCCTTCACTAGTGCTGAGTACAGAGAGATGATCCCTGCCCCGGTCCTGCTGGCCACACTATTGCTGATATATTTCTGATATGTAGTACCTAGCAACAAAAATACACCCCATAAGTATGTCCCCAGTATGTTCTCTAGTTGTCTTGCTATGATATATAAAGACATATCTTTCTTCCTTCTCTATGTCAATAGTGATTTTACAGATCTTTCCTGCAAAACAACATATTCCTTTTCCCAGCTGAAGTCTATGTAGTTTCCTGTCATGTGCAAAATATTCTATAACTGTGTTCATCTTCTAGTATACTTTTTTGCAATGGTTTGTCCAAACCTTTATGAAATATTCTGATTTGAAAACAATGTGGGTTCAAAAGGTGACATAATGATTTCTTGTAGATTGTTCTCAATTTGTTCTGGAATAACCCCTAATAACCAATTGCTACCTGAACTTCTGGTTGAGTGTTTTCCTGACATTTTCAGAGGACTATGCACAGTAATTCTCGTGGGTTTTCTTAGTGATAGTGGTTGATAGTGATAGTGGAGTCCTCAGCATCCATCAATAATGATATTTTTTCTTCTTGCATTACTTGTCACTTTGTGATTGAATTTCAACTGCCATTTCATCACTTGGTCTCTGAGGTCTGCTGAACATAATAAACAGCAACAACAGCAACAATAAGTTATTTATTATAGCTGAAAAAAAATGACCATCAAATAATGACTTTTCAAATTATTCTTACCTTGCAGTGATGCTTTTGTGCTTAAGCCATTGTCAGGAACTGTCACTAGGTCAGCAGCTGTCGCAGGACAGAGCATGTTTTGGAGAAGAAGTGCTATGAAGTGTCCTTGCCAGGAATAATTACACCGGTACAAAAATATCCACAGATGCCTACAAGATTCCTGTCTTGGAAAGGAAGATACTAAGAGTTTATCATGACAGTTTTCAGAGGCGGGTCCTTAAATTCCAATGTAACCTTGTCTCTTTGCACAAATCTGTGGGTCTTAACTTATCAGTGCTGTAAGGGGCCCTTAAAAAGTGTGACTGTTTGCTTTAAATAGCAAGAAAATAGGGCTTATATTTGAATCTGACCACTGCATTTATCTACAGACAGTTTAGGTAAATGAAATAATGATGAAGGTATAAAGGTTTAATTTTAAAAAAGGTTTAATTCATGCTCTTGTTCTGTCACGTTTTCTTTCCTTCTTATTAACATCCTCAATACCACCCCCAAAAAAAACCTGTAAATTTTTTTTCACAAAGTATTAACCTTGATAGAATTACCTTCTCTACTGAAAGCTATTTGCATTTAAATTTTTCTGGCCATTTCAAGCATTCAGCAAGAATAACAACAGAATAAGCTCCCCAGTTTAAAAAAGTAGGTCTGTAGCAAGAGACATTTTTAGAGTGTCCAGTGAAAAATATGGAAATATGTAAATTACTTGTTTAAAATTTAAAAATAATAATAATCAGGTCAAATTGAATATTCCATATCAGAATAGACACATTATTTTTTTTTTTACTTACAGCTGCATTAGACAGACAAGAAGGTAATTATTCTTTTCCCCAGCAACTTAATCCATAAAAGATACTCCTAAGAAGCCTAGGAAAAGTGGATTTGGGGATAGAAAATACTATTGAACAAAATAATTGCAGTTTTTCCTGGAGATCTCTCTGGCTCTTTGTGCTAGTTTTGGCTAGGGTAGAGTTAATTCACAGTCACTCCTACCAGGCTGTGTTTTGGATTTGTGCTGGAAACAGTGTTAATAACACAAGGATGTTTTTGTTACTGCTGAGCAGTGCTTACACACTCAAGGCCTTTTCTGCCTCTCACCCCACCCCACAAGTGAGTGGGCTGCGGGTGTGTAGTGGGTTTCTGTGGCTAGTTTCAGTAGCGGGACTGCTACAGGGGTGATTTCTGTTAGAAGCTGCCCATGTCTGGTGGAGCCAATGCCAGCCAGCTCGAGGACAGGCTTCCTGCCGCTGGCCAAGGCCAAGCGAATTAGGAGTGACAGTAACGCCTCCGTGATAACATATTTAAGAACAGAAAGTTATTGTGCAGATAAAAATTCCAGCAAGGGAAGAGCGGAGTGAGAACATGGGAATAACAATGTAGACACCAAGGTCGGTACAGAAGGAGGGGGAGAAGGTTCTCCAGGCACCGGAGCTGAGGCCCCTGCAGCCCGTGGTGCAGACCGTGGTGGAGCAGCTGTGCCCTTGCAGCCCATGGAGGAACATTGGGTTGCAGAGACCCACCTGCAGCCCGTGGTGGAGTCCATGCCGGAGCGGGTGGATATCCAAAGGAGACTGTGACCCTGTAGGAGGCCCATGATGGAGCAGGGTCCTGGCAGAGACCTGGAGCCTGTGGAGAGGAAAGCCCACGCTGGAGCAGGTTTTTCCCAGGTAGGACTTGTGACCCCTCTGGGGGACCCACGCTGGTACAGCACATTCATGAAGAATTGCACCCCATGGAGGAGTCCATGTTTGGGAAGAACTGCTGACTGTGGGATAGACTCAAGCCAGAGAGGTCCATCAAGGACTGTCTCCCGTGAGAGGGACCCCGTGGGAGCAGGGGAAGGACTCCTCTCTCTGAGCAGTGGCAGAAACAACAACTGACTGTAACCCCCATTCCCTGCACTGCTGGGGGCGAGGAGATAGAACTTGGAAGGAAGGAGGGGTGGGGAGAAGGTGTTTTTAAGATTAAGATTTTAAGATTCTCACTCTTTCACTCTGATGCTGTTAGTAATAAATTTAATTAATATCCCCACTTTGAGTCTGTTTTGCCTGTGATGGTGATCAGTAAGTGACCTCTCCCAGCTCTTGTCTCAACTCATGAATGTTTTGCTGTTTTTTTTTCTCTGCTCTATCCAGTTGCAGAGGGGAAGGAGACAGTGGCTTTAGTGAGTACCTGGTGTACAGCCAGGGTCAGCCCACTATAGGGTGCACAAGGAGCTGGGAGGGGACACAGCCAGGACAGCTGACCCCAGCTGACAAGAGGGATATCCCAGACCATAGGGTGTCATTGTCAGCAATAAAAAGCTGGGGGAAAGAGGAGGGGAGGATATTTGCAGTGATGGCATTTGTCTTCTCAAGTCACCATTACATGTGATGGAGCCCTGCTTTCCTGGAGATGGCTGAACACCTGACTGTCCATGGCAAGTGATGAATGAATTCCTTGTTTGACTTGCTTGCTCATGTCTTTTGCTTTACCTCTTAAACCATCTTTATCTCAAACAACGAGTTTTCTCACTTTTACCCTTCCCGATTTTTTCCCTATCCCTCTGTGGGGGAGTGAGTGGCTGTGTGGTGCTTAGCTGCCTACTGAGGTTAAACCGTGTCAGGTCTTTTCTCCGAGTGAGTCAGGAATGAAGGAAATTTATGCTATATGATCAGAGCAACCCTCCAGTTGTTTTAAAGACAATTTTTCCTATTTGCTGAGTACTTAGTCTCTTCTGTCGCTGTAAATAGTTGAAAAGGAAGCTTATCTGTTCTTTGAGGGAAAATACAAGATTAATTTTACAAGATTCTGAGCTGTTTGCTTGCATGATATAAAGGAGATCTTTGCTCATATTTGTTCTTCCTGCCCAGAACAAAGGTCTCTTGTTTTTTGCTTGGTCAAGACCTTATGCATGAGGTTCACCCACTTTTGTCTATACTTAGTGTACTATCCACAGGATGGCTTAAAATGCTTTGGATTTTTTGTTTGTTTGTTTGTTTGTAATATTTCTTGACAGATATGTCTTCTGATCACATCAGCAAAGTGCCAGTGCTTGTAGTATTTCTGTAACTAGTTTGGTGTTTTCCCTGATTACAATTATCTTTGCATAATGAAAAGCTTGGAAAAAGGATAAGGAAATACACACCATTCTGTTAGGCTGGAGGGACCTTTCATATACTGGTCTTAATTTTATCTCCCCTTGTCATGCCTCACGGATACTCTGTAACACACTTGAGATTTATTTTATGATCAATTACAAGATTAAATTAAAAATTACATCTCTGAAAATTATGATATATCTTTAAATACCCAATTGCACTCTTTCCTTTACTCTAAAAACATTTATTTATGTATCAATGAAATGCCAGATTCTTCTGTTCTTACAGCAGTTAAAGATTTTTTCGGTCTCAATTCTGAAATTTCCTTTTGAAATAACTTTATTATTTTTAAACTTATAAAACATCTTTCAGCCATCATCTTCCCAGTGTTTCAGTTATGCCTGTATATAATATCCAAAATTCCTAAACTTCTGTAATCTAAGGTTGCTGTTACTTTGGGAGAGGAAGAAGGAAGTTAGCTGCTTGAGTAATACAGGTAATAGTTAATTTTTTCAGTTTCAGCTAGCACATTAGACCAGATATTGCAACTCATATACAAACCATGCAGTAGTCTCTGGATTACTGTATTCAATATAAAAATATTTCTTGGAGAAAAAACATAGTTTGTTTTCACAAAAAATGCACATGGCATGCAGACATAGGCTATTTATGAAATAAGTTACTGCACTGCTGGAGCAAGGCTAGAAGAAAGAGATTTAAGAATATGTGTTATACTTTTGTAGAAGCATTAGGATGTGAGAAATAGAGCTTTTCCTAGCACTTCTGTAGCTGACCTTTCAATAAAATATTTGTTGAATTAAAATAGACATTTTCTGAAACAAAGGCTTGCATGAATAGTTTTGGTTACAGCAGAGATCCCTTTCCTGGGAAAGGTGTAAAAAATAATTAAGAGATTGTCAGGGTTTTATTCTAATTTATTTTTTTCCTGACCTAAACTTATGGGGATTCCTTAGAAATCTCCAGAAAATTAACACTTGGTCTGTGTCATGTAAAGAAAAATTGTCCCATTTAGGAAAGTCTACACATTTTAATAATTTGATATCGCCTTTTGAGGTGTCATGGTATATGTTTCAATTTATTTCTGTATATTCCTCTTCATCCACAAAGCCTTGGCTTCATCAAAACCTCCAAGGGAAGGAAATAAGTAATTTCAGATCAACCATTTTTCTCTTAGCACAGGAACCAGTGCACATGCAGGTGAGCACTGGTGTGTGGCCTTACATTCAGTCATATTTCTCTGGTGTTACTTGCTGTGTGTTCATGTCTACAGTGCCATTAGATGTTGCAGCACTCGAGAAGTGGTTGCACCATATATAGTTGCATTGTGCAGTTCAACAGATTTATACACATAGCTCTCAGGCCTACTACACATGCTGCTTTAGCTTTTTCCCAGTTTATTCTGCGTCATCCTGCAGCTATTAAAGGAATGAAATTTAGCTGATGACTTTTTTTTCAAGATAAAGGAGCACAAATAACATATTTAGCAGAGTTAATGATACTATTTTCTTCAGTTTAAATTTGTCTTCCACAGCTTTTGCATTGTATTGGGAACAATTTTTGACCTTAGATTATTTTCATCCGGTAGTAGCAAGAAGAAAAAAGCAAGTGGAAGCTGTTCACTGCATTTTCTACTGAGCTTGTATTTAAAAATTTGATACATCTTCTGGAATAGACAGTTGAGGGTTTTGTCTGGTTCAATTCTTTCAATTCCAGGAAAAGAGAAAGTGTGGAAAGATGTGTCACCTGAATTATTATATTTTTTTTTTCTAAATGAGATTTTTTTTAAAAATCCATTTTTACACAGTAAAATCAACATAAAAATATTTGCACTCTTCTGGAAATCCATCAGAAGAGTGTTTCTGATCAAGTCAAGTGCTGAAGTGTCCCAATATAGAAAGTGTTGGGATACCATGGTGATTGTATCTATAAAAATGTGTACCCTGTGAAATCTCAAGGATTAAGAGCAAACACACTTTGCAGTATACCTTATGAAAAGTCTTTAGAAGGAAAAAAGTCTACAGCACATAAGTACTGTGATTTTCTTCATGTGTCTGAACTCACTTTACCATGTCAGCTGTTTTGAATGTCACTAGACTTTGACTGTAGAGACTAAGAGCTGAACAGAAACTCCAACAAGCTGATACTAATTTTTGGAATGTTTACAATGCAGTGCTGGACATTAAGGGTAATTTTTTCTATGTATCTGATCTGTTGTTTCATCAGGATTCACTGTTATGAAAGTCAATGAAATCCTTGAACTAATATGAAGTGTGGCAGCTGCAAGAAAGCCCTGGCTTTTGAACTCAAGCTCCCTGCTACCATTGTGCAGTCCTGATCAGAGCCACCAAAAATTCAGTTGTATTCCTCTGTATCCACCATGTCAAACAGAAGCTTGTTCCAGAAGCTCACTACTCTCACACCAGAATTCTTCCTCTAATATTCAATTTGAATTTGTTGCGGTCTGGTTTACATTTTGTCTTGTGTTAGTCTATCTTGAAGTTTATGCTGATCTTCTACCTCCACACTGATTCTCTTCCCCTCTGACACCATCCTACTTCATCTTCCTACACCATCCTTTCATTCCTTCGTTCTGTAAAAAAATCACTCATCATTCCTCTCCACATCACAGCCTTCATTTTGGTAAAATGAGCAAGTCATACTCTTTGAGTGCTCTCTGTAAAGTCAACCTTTCTCATTTCCCTGTTCATGCTATGAAATTTTCTCTCCCACTTTTGCAATTTTAACTCCTCTTTTTTGAGAGAGGATAGCTAGAACTTTATGGAGTTTCCAGATGAAATCTCATGAGTACATTATACAAGGGCATTAATATTTCCTGAGCCTCTGCAAATATTCTGATACACTCTACTGCTGTATGTTTTTTTTTTTTATTTAATGTTATATCCGTTGGGTGAGAGGGATTGTAACATCTGTCTTTTATTGCCATTTGTGTTATGTCCAGTTCAGTAGGTGCTAGGCTCTATTGTAAAGTTTAATAATCAGTTTTATTAGTTGTGTCAATGAAATGCATCTCTCATTACTTGAGAATGTTGGTGACATGCTTTATTAATAATTGCTTACCTCATTTCTCTCTGTATTTTCAGTTCATTTTGCTTCTCATTCATACTGAGCTTGCATGTGTTCATTTTAGCATTTTTGCTTCTCTGCTGTGGCTACCCTTCAGGAAATGCAAAACAGTTTACAAATCTTACTGTTGCATATTCAAATCTTTGTGCAATGTAATTGTAAGGTTCAGTCTCCACATAATAAAGCGTACAGATTTTTTACAGGAACTGTATAAACAGTAGTCAGCATTATAGTACCTTAGAAATAGAATCATACAATTGTAGATTTGTTTAGGTTGGAAAAGACCTTTAGGGTCGTCTAGTTCAACCATCAGCCAACCACCACCACCATGTTCACCGTTAACCATGTCCTCAAGTGCCATATCCACATGTTTTTTGAACACTTCCAGGAACAGACACTCCTTCCCTGGGCAGTTTGTTCCACTGCTTGACAACCTTTTCTGTGAAAAATTTTTCCTACTATCTAATCTAAACTTCCTCTGG